AAAAGTGGCTTTGAAGCAAGAATTCATATCTCTCAGTTTTCAATTATATTCTCATTCCTCTATGCTAGCTACATTATCACCAAAGGATGACATGATGAAGAGTCTGGAGAAGATCATTCTAACAGTAATGACAGGTCAAACTAGGAAAGGCGAGGTTAGAGGCAGATGACTAGTTGATAAGGAAAAATCAATAATTAAGGCATGTGGGTTAGGACACTTAGGCAATTCTTATGATTGAGAATGGTTTACAATGGCCATTACAGGACTCATTGGTGCCTCCTTGAGCTGTTAATCAGCCAACACAGACAGCTTTCCCACTCACAAAGGTGTGAGAAGTAAAAATAATATTTACCTTATTACATTGTCTGATGTTAACAGCACTATGTGGGGATCCAGCATTTCACTTGGATACCATGCAGCATGCTTCAGAGTCAGAGATGTAGAACTGGTGAAAAATCTCTCAGCGACTGGAGTGGTACTAAAATAAAGATAACAATGTCCCAAAACACTATGTAGAACTTAAATAAGAAACCTTCTAGGGCCGGGGATTTAGCTCAGTGGTGCCGCCGCCTGCCTTGCAATCGCAAGGTCCCGAGTTCAATCCCCGGTACCAAAAACAAAACAAAACAAAAGAAATCTTCTAAAGATAAATCTATTTTAATACTTCCTTCAAATTTCTAAATTTCTCTCAATCTTGCTGAAAGAGCATTCAAATCATCTATTTATTATCGAAGACAAAATGAAAATACAGTCTAAACTAACATTTTATAGTGTTTCACAAGTGTTTTTAAATACAGCATTTTTTTTTATTCTTTCATTAAAGCTAAACTTGTAAGGAAACTACAAGGAAAGGTACTATCATTGTTATTTTGAAAAATAGGAAACAAGTGTGGGGGGGTGCACACCTGTGATCCAAGTACTTGGGATGCTGAGGAAGGAGGATAGCCTCAAGTTTGAGGCCAGCCTGGGCTACACAGTGAGTTCAAGGCCAGCCTGGGCTACACAGCAAGACCCTATCTAAAAAAAATCCAAAAAAACAAAAAAGTAGAAACAGATCTACAAAATATTTAAAATAATTCAGCTTAGTGTGGTGGTGCATGCCTATAATCTCAGCACTTGGGAGGCTGAAGCAGGAGGATCGACACCAGTTCAAGGCCAGCCTAGGCTTCATAATGAGTTCAAGGCCAACATGAACTATACAGGGAGACCCTGTTTTTTTTAAAAAAAACAACCCCCTGCCAAAAAAAAAACCAGCTCAAGAAGTCTTTCCTTATATACTGTAGAGCTAAAGGTGTTTTTATCTTATATTCTTTTTTTTTTCTTATATCCTTTTTAGTAGATTTTTCAGATCCTTTTCTGGATTTGTTAAAAAAGAAATTATATAAAAACAAAACCTTGATAAACTTCTAAGCAAACATCTGGCTCTTGGACAATAACTGCCTTTAAAACATGTTATTTCTATCAAATTGAAAGAACAGCCTGACTTCCAATGAGATAGCAATGTAATAATTCAGGCATAATAAATATATAATCACACACACACTATAAGCATTAATACCACAGGAAACCAGCCTACAGACCATTAGGAGAGCTCTAATGTTTCAATAGTAGTGTATTTACTAAACACATTTTAAGAAACCCTGGTCTTGAAAAATTTTCTGTATGTACTGGAAATTATAAAGATAAACATGAAATGGAAATACAACTTACCTACAATTCACTGTTACTTTTCCACCTTCAAATTCAGAATTCTTCCCCCACCTTTTAGGTAATTCTAATACCGTAAGTCCTTTAGTTCCTATAAGTGCTACATGATGTTGTGTCGGACTTAACAAAACTTGATAAATTTCAAAAAGGGGTGGGTTTATGCAAAGCAATCTCTGAAAATTAAAGCAAATTGTCACAATAATTAATTGTAATGTAAATACATGTGGCAATTACTTGAAAACACAGTAATGCTCTAGTTTTCCATAATGATAGAATAACAAAGCATTATGGACAAGTATCAACTCCCGGATCACTAACTGATGAAATATTTGGAGCCATTTTAGATTGAAATGTTATGTAAAATCCGTCACACTTTTCCACTTTGATTAAAGATTACTTATACCTAATTTTCATTTTTAAGATGAAGTTTCAGCCTACCACTCCAGTCTACCATTCTGTACTCATACTTAACACTAATCAGATTAACTTGCATTTCTTGGAAATCATCATGGATTGCTATACTTCTATATCCTTGCAAAACTATTCCTCTTCCTGAAGTGCCCTCATTTTTTTTCTTTTTCAGTTGGCTAACAAGATCTAAACATTCTTGGAGAGGCAGCTTCTATGAACTCCCCCTCGGCTAAATATCCCCCTCCTTGTGGCCAGGGATAAATGTGTCTTTTTGAAGACATTCTTGAAGACATTTTTGAAGACATTCTAGATAAATCTATCATAGTTCTTACCCTGCACTGTCATTTTTACTTGTCCATCCCACAGAACTCACTATAAAATACTTGACAGTACCTGACACATTGCTGACTCCCAACAGATGCTTAGTGAATAGACAAGTGAACTAAAAATATTAATAAATAGTATTATAAATAGTACAATAAGATAAAGAATTGGCTTCAAGAGCTTTTGCTCTTGAGCAGAATGCTGCTTTATCTATGCAGACAATATCAGCTGTCTGACTCACCATTATATGTCCTCAAAAAAATTGACTTTCTGTTCATACTTCCTATTCCTTCTCCTATGACCATCTGACTCCCACTTTTTCTACTTTCAATAATAAATGCATTGTTTACCTTACATATAGAGAATAACCCTGAGCCAAACTCCTTTTATGTCAGACTGTCCTGAATGAGATCTCTACTAACTGCTGATGTCTGTCACCTCGCGTATATTTTAGTTGTCTTTCCAGATTCTAATCAAACCGTTTTTTTCTCTTGTGATTCTTTGCTTCTGTTCCCTATACTCAACTCCCATCTTCTTTCTACTTGATTTTGAGTCTAACATAAACCAAACAGAGGCTTCTTCTGAAACCTTGCTTCTCTTACATATACATTCAATCACACTAGTTTTTTTTTTTTTTTGGTACCAGGGATTGAACTCGACCTTGCACTTGGGAGGCAGGCAGCAGCACCACTGAGCTAAATCCCTGGCCCCACTAGTTCATTTTCAATAATCACAGTATTAAGACTTTTGTTGTTAAAGTCACTATCATGCTTTTTAACATTCAGGTTTGATAATTATTTTCTTTCCAATTTCTGAACTTTTGAGATTCTGGAGGACTGAAGGTTATGAAGTTGGTGACTAATATTTACTGAGAGCTTGTATGTTCCAGGCCCACTGTCAAGTGCTGGCCATACAAAAATGAGTAAGACACCTGACTTAATACCTATGGTCTAGCAAAAGAAGTTAGACAGTAGATAAATAATTTAAAATTATTAAATTATTACTGCCAAATGCTGCACAGCAATGTAGAATGCTATTGAACTTCTTCATCTTAGCCGAAAGGCTGAGAGGCAATGCAGAATGCTATCAGAATACTGTGTGCTGGGGCTGGGCATGACAGGGCACACCTGTAGTGTCAGGTACTAAGGAGGTCGAGGTAGGAGGATTGCTTGAGTCCTTGAGGCCAGCCTGGAAACACAGCTTTAAAAACTAGAAAAGAAATACTGTCTGCTGAACACTTGCTAATTATTCTTAGCTGAAATTTTCAGTAAGTAGATCTGTCAATATCTGGTACAGTAGCATCTTGTTAAAATCAAGTCACTTCTGCATAAGAATTGATCTGTGGCACACAACAGATGTCATACATTTAAATGATTACCATGTTTATTTTTATTTTATTTTATTTTTTTGGTACTGGGGATCGAACTCGGGTCCCTGAGCTTGCACAACAGGCGGCGAAACCACTGAGCCAAATCCGCAGCTCGATGTAAAATTTTTTTTTTTTTTTTTTGGTACCGGGGATCAAACTCAGGTCCTTGCGCTTGCGCAGCAGGCGACGAAACCACTGAGCTAAATGCCCGGCCCATAATTACATCTTTCTGAAGTTGTAAAAATCATTTTTGTGAGTAGTTTTTAATCTTTAAAAGATAATTTATTACAGATAAATATTTCCATAAAGCAATGTTTGATTTTAACAGGTCTAGAGTACTTTCTAATCACACTTTCACACGTCATGGCTTATCAAAAACAACTCTGAGGATGGCCAACAGCATGAGCTCCTTTCCGTAAATGGCAGGGTCAGAATTAATGAACATGTTGGACAGCAAGAGGAATACGAGGAAAGACGGACTTTTCCACTCGAAGTAGGATGTTCCCGAAAAGACTTCTGCTTACGCCTGAATAGCGAACCCACTGGAAGATGAACAACACGAGTTCAGATCCCGGCTGCGGGTCACTTCCAAGAGGCCCTGGCCGTACCTGATACCGGGAGAGGGAGGGCTCCTCGCCGCCACTGCTGAGGCCGCGAAGGCGAACCACTAAAAAGCAGCTGCCTTCTCCGTCCCACAGGAAGAGCTCACCGCCGAGGCCGAAGACTAGGTTTCTCGTCAGCAACTGCGGCGGCAGAGGAGGCGACGAGGCCAATGATGAAGAAGCTGGTTTCTCAGCTTCTGCAGGACGCTGGTGTTTCAGTCCCTCTCGGAGCCGCAAAAACACGACGTGATTGGGAAGCCAGGTCTGCCACAGATCATTGTCGCCTACAGGTCCCTCGGCAGCCGCCATCTTGGTCCAACTGCTTTCCTCATTCTAGTTGCTCAGCCCGCCGCTGAATGCAGCCAATCCGCGGCCAGCCGTCTACTGCTTCGGCCAGTCATCAAACAGGTAGCCCGGAAGCACGGGGAGCGAAGAGGCGGGGCGAAAGGTATTACAATAAGAAAGCCAATCGACAGCCCTGCATAGGTCAAAGTGGGCGGGACGAAGAGGTCTACTGAACGAGGCGCGTTCAGAGACCACGTTGGTGCTGCGAGAAGTCCAGTACTGTACCTGGGTGGAGAGACTGGGACCTGAGTACTAATAGACTGTTGGACACTTCACTCTGGAAAAAAACCAGCCATCCAGGACATTCTTTCAAGACTTCCCACCTTCCATCAAGGTCGGGTTAACTTCATAAATGTCGCTACTTCAGCCACCCATCCTTGATTTCCGCAAATCTGCCTCTGTGTGGGGATGGACGGGAAAACAAAGCTTCCCAGAATTTCCTGCGAGCTGAGTTTGGGCCCGAAACTACAACTCCCAGAGTTCTGTGTGCGCTCCTGGGGGCGGGGCTTTGACGGCGGTTCGGGAGAAGAGATGGCGGAGCAGGCTGGCTCTCACCACCGATCACTATACAAACAGGTGTTCTCTCCGCACTGGAAAGAGGCTTTCCGGCAGGTGAGTGTGAGATTTGGAACATTGGTCACTCCCCTAATTTATCCCAAGGACTGTTGTTCTCCGAGCCTTCGCTTCAGCCCTGCTCTGAAGCAAATGCCGGAAGCGCCTGGCCACTGGAGGGGCATCTGCACTTCTTTGCCTCTGGGTGTGGGGTTACCTCTGTAGGCACAGTACCAGATGGCTTGGTTTTTGGATTCAGGTTTGTTTCACATTTGAAGTGTGGCCATACCTCTACAGTACCACCACCACCTACTGTTGTTGGGTAAGTGGGCATGGAGAGAGACATTTTATGTAGGTGTGACACGTGACATAAAAATTATTTCTGTATCCAGAGAGGAACCAGAATGGCCTCTGTTATTGCGTGTTAGCAGAGTTGTACCTCACCTCAGTTCTGGTCCCTTATGAACTAAGCATAGTTCCTAGTAACATTGCCTCTCCCCACAAATCGCTAAAGTGGTGGATACATCCCAGGAAAATAACTGGCTGCTAAAGGTTGTGTGTAGCAAGGTTTCTGAACCGTGGGTATTGCTATACATACATATATACCTACATTTATTTTTAATTTTTTTTTTTTTTTAGACAGGGTCTCACTACATAGTTCAGGGATTCTTTGTTGCGGAGGTTGTTCTGTACATTGTAAGATATTTAGGTGCAGAATTGCTGGCCTTTACCCAGTAGATGCTGCACTCCTACAACTAGAGTTGTGACAACAAAAATGACTCCAAACATTGCTCAGTGCCCACTGGGGTACAAAATCACTCTGAAGTGAGGAACACTGTTGTACAGGAAGGCTATTAGCACAGCCATATGTATAGTAGCAAGAATTTTGAAACAATAGAAATGTCTTCTAATGCTGGATGCTGAGATAGAATGTACCTAATCGTTAAGGAAGCTGACATAGAAAATAAAATATGAAATAAATTGAACAAAGCATGTAATTTTACATATCTACCATATGTATGGATAAGGACTTGAGAGGAATATGCAAAAGTAACAGTAGTTAGGATTTTAGTTGAAATTTTGTGTCTAAGTTGCCTTTAATGTTTACCAGCTAATCTTTTTTTTAACGGACACCCCAGCCCCACCATCCTTCTCCTTTTTCTCTCAAGGGATGCCTGGCAAGAATGAGAAACAGCCGGGACAGGTTCCTGAACAAGTACCGCCAGGCTGGAGGCAGTATGCCAGGGAGAGCTCCAAGTACCCTTCTAGTGCAAGAGGTGATGGTGGAAGAGTGGAACTCTTTCCAGTCAATGCAGAACTATCCAGAGGAGTTGGCTCAGGTCAGGCTGAGATACATGTTTTCAGAGTGGGGGATTCACCCTGAGAAACTCCTAGAATTCTCCTTGTGTGTGTCTACCCTTGCCTCTAAACTCACCTACCTCCCAGTCCCTAGGCAGAATTCTAACAGCCTTTGATCCAGGCTCTTCTGCTGTCAATATTAGTTTATATTGATGATTTCTCAATACTGAACCATAGGCCTGCTGAATCCTTGCATGATAATCAACTATGAAATTTAAAAAAAAGAAATTTCATTTCTTTCCTTCACTTTTAAGAAATTTTGATTCAATAAGCATGGGCTAGGAATTTTTCTTTTAAAAGAAGTCTCCAAGAACATTTTGATTCCAATTTCAACCAGATTTGGGAGCTGGGTATGGATAGGAAACCATTTATGGTGTGTCAGAAAGAACACAGGATTGGAGGTTAGGAGTTCTAGAATTCTAATTCTGGTTTTGCTACTGACTCTTCACTACCTCTGAACTTTAGCTTTCACATTTATAAAATGGAGAAGATAATGTCAGCATTTTGAGGACTATGTAACAAAACATGGGAAAGTGCTTTGAAACTATCAAGGCATTGTGTAAGAATAACGCATTATTCAGTGACATCTGTGTGTCTTACAGTATGATAGATGTTTACCTTACTTCAACCACAAATAGTACTCCTGATAGCTTTCGCAGGTCGCTTTTATTCCCACTGTTCAGAGGCTGAAGCTGAGGTTTGCAAAGACTAGGAACTTTCCTGTGGTCATATAGCCTTGGAAGAGCATATACCTAACTGCTGTCTTCTACCTGTCTCTCCCAAATATGGTAGTGTTAGGGCCAGGGATTTAGCTCAGTGGTTTCAACACCTGCTGCGCAAGTACAAGGACGCGAGTTCGATCCCCGGTACCAAAAAAAAAAAAAATTTGGTAGTGTTATTTTGCCACTGGGTGGTTTGATCATTTGTTGATGACCTCTTAGCATAACCATGTACCCCATTGTCAGCATATTCTGCAAAAATGGACCAGTTTTATCAGATGGGTATGGATTCTTCATGCCACCCTCCAAGTATGAAACGTTATCGGGCATGGTGGCAGATTAATACCTCAAACTTCAGATGACTCTACTTCCTCTTGCAGTTGGGGTTGTCGATTGACTTGGCTGTGCTGGAGGAAATCCAACAGGAGCTGATTGATGAAGGTAATCCTGGGAATAGTTCTTCCTACCTATATTTAGCTACTCTAACGCTGACTTTTCCTTGAATCAGGATTAGCTCTTAATTCTCATTCTTCTACTTCCATTTTCAGACGTGTATATAGAAGTCTCATTTTTCACTCTGAATTTTTGGCTGTCTTCCTAAAGATAAGAATTTCCAAGATGCTAGACTTTGTGCTGAAAACTTATTTATATTACTGTTTTCTCCTTGTGACTACCCTGTAAGATAGTACTAGACAGAGAACAGAAAGTGGTATTCTCACACAGATCACACAGCTAGTAGGTAGGTGGTGGATCTGGGGAGCAAAACTGATTTTATGAATCCAGCTGCCATGTTTATTCTATCTTGCCATCTACATTAATAGGTAAAGCTGGGGACAATGGCTGGTGCCTATAGTCCCAGCTAGTCAGGAGCCAAAGGTGGGAGGATTGCATGGCCCAGGAGTTTGATGCCAACATGGGGAACATAGCAAGACCTGTATCTTAAAAAGTAGTAGTGGGCCGGGGATGTAGCTCAGTGGTGCCATGGCCTGCCTGGCAAGTACAAGGTCCTGAGTTTCATCCCCAGTACAATACACACACACACACACACACACATGTAGTAGTAGTAATAGTAATAAAAGTAAATGCTCTGTTAAGTGTCAGCTTTCTCCATTGCCTTTGAAGCTTGACATCTCTACATTTCTGGCTGCTGTGACCTCCAGAGATGTGTGAAAGTTATTTCCTTGTCCCTTAGCCTACTTTACCTCTTTTGCTTATGAGGAAGCAGCAGATATGAGGGGGAGGGATCTACTAAGATGAAGCTAGCCCGAGAAAGCAGTAAATACCAATGACTGCCAGTGTGGTTTTGCCCAAACCTTTCCCTTGTGCCTTTGAGTACAGGGCACTCTGAGGAAGCATGGTAAGGCACTCCCACTGTCTTTTGCCTTGCAGAACAGTCCATAATCAGCGAGTATGAGAAGAGCTTGCAGTTTGATGAAAAATGTCTCAGCATCATGCTAGCTGAGTGGGAAGCAAACTCCTTCATCTGTCCTGTGTGTACAAAGTAAGAGTTTTTAAAACTTTTCCAGCATAATTGGTTCCTAGCCCCCACTCCAAGGTGAGTGGAACAACCCTGCTCTCCCAAAATTTGTTGCCTAAAAAGGTTTGGGGAGCCAGGTCTGGGGAACCATGATGATCTAGGATCCTAATTCTGCTTCTAGGTACAACTTGAGAGTAATAGGAGGTGTGGTGGTATGTCAGTGTGGCCTAAACATCCCATCTCATGTAAGTGTTCCACACGGAGATTTTGTGCTACATCTTCCCAAACACATCTGCTTATCTGAAAAACTCCCAGTGGTGGGCTGTAGCCAGTTGTGTACATCTCTTTCCCAGTTTTGTGTTCAGTGACATTACATTGATCGCTTCCCATCAGCTATGGTGAGAATAATACTCAGCGTGGAAATGGGCAAACACAAATCAGGGCTTTCCTCCACACCCTGTGAGAGCCACTACTACTTCAGCTCTTTAGAGATCCCAGTTTAGGATTAGAAACACTTGTATCCAGTCTCCCACAAAAAATTTCTGTTTATGAAGACACACCAATATTCAAATGTAGGCATAAGTGATCTTAAAATGTAGAAGTCCTCTTTTCTGACATGATGGGGATTGCAAGTTTGCCAGTTCATTGAGCAGTTGGTTGAAGTGGCAGTTTAACAATTCCTATAATGCATAGGCCAGAGTTATGGGTAGATGAACCATGTGCTTTAGTGGATGTTTGATCAAGAAGCTGATTGTGCATTAGAATTTTTCTTATCTTTTACCTAATTCTATAGCTTTTTTTTTTTTTAAGCAACTCATCTTTTTTAATATTTCCTAAATTTTCTGCTTATCATACAAATGAAACTTTAATTCCCCTGTACAGTATCTGTAGTTTACGTAAGAAGTAATTAAATCACAGTGTTGCAGTCCTAAGTTCAATTAGTACAAAGAGACCTGAGAGCAGACACTGCTGGTTCTTGGTAAGGATCACTGGAGCAGAAGTTGAAGGAGGTTAGAAGGAAACTGGCTGGGTTTGAATGTTCTTCCTGCATGAGCAGCAGCCAGTGTGTTCTGTAGCAGGAATGGAGAGCACTGCTTAATCTGGAGGTGTGGTTAAATGGAGACTGGTTAAGAGATCTTGGCACAGTTGTGGGCCCAAGAGTGTTTTTAAAGCTCCAAGGCGTGAAGCCATCACAGAGAGCCAATTGTAGTGGTTGGCCATGAGGAATCAGGATTTTCAGCCTGATGACTATCAAGTAACTAAGATTACTTTGTGGTTAAATTTTTTTTTCAGTCTGCAGAGCTGACAGAACAGAAGCTGCGTGCCTGTTTAGAGGCTAGTTTAAATGACCACAGTGCACATTGTCCCCATACCCCTGAATTTTCAGTCACTGATGGAACAGAAGAAAAGCCCAGTCTTCTCATGACCTGTCTGGTAAGCTTTCCAGGGGATCCTGTCAAGGGTAGGAATAGGTTCATTGGTTGGGTTTTATTCCCATCCTAGTGGAAATGATGGGTTAGAAACAGGTAAATGTTTAATGCAGTGTATATTCTGAGGAATTTATAGAAAAGTAAAGATCCTAAATCACTTCACCAGTCATTCCTGGAAAGAAAGGGATGAGGCAGCTTAGGATCAGAAGCACTGGTATGGGAGCTGGAGAGTCTGGCTGCAGTGCGTGATCTTAGATCAGCAGCAGTGGTATTGGGTTCCACAGGTCAGGTCATGGTCCTAAGACCCAAATGGGCATCCTGGCACCACTTCTACAGATGGATACAGGACAGAAAGCACAGCTTTTTCTCAGCAAGTCTTCACTGAGGCCCAGGATTAGATTCTGAGTGACAACTTGGGTGTGACAGGACTGCACAAGCAGGTATGGGAGCCACCGGTTTTAGGAGCCTTAAGCTTGCTATAGGAACCATTTCTTATAATAATCAATGACATGTTATAGCTTCCACATCTTGAGTAAGGGGAACTTTGGGATTATTGAACACTACAGTATGCCAGGTATCAGTAAAATTGGACCTTTCACATAAAATTGGCCAGTCTTTCATGGCTAAGGGTGTCACAGCAAATGTGAGAAGCTGAGAGAAAAAGAAAAAATTATTCAGTACCTTGTGAGTTCAACATTTTGAGTAGACATTTGGAATGTTCTATATCCCAGTATGCCACTAGGCCTCTGGTTTTCACTTGAGGAAATTAAGAACCACTGGGTAAGATCCAGTTAAGTCAGGCCATAGAACAATTCATCTCAGATGTGGAGAATGAGGTCAAAGACGACAGGTGTGATTACAGAAGGTGGTAGTAACAGGAACTAGGAATACATGAGATGTTACAGTGGTCTGAAGCTGGGCACCAGGGTGGAATGTGCTAAGCTTCTTGTGTGTAGGATCCTAGTGTCTTCCAAAGAAAGCCAAATATATTACCTATGGAAGCAGTCAAGGTTAGGACAGGCAGGATTCCTAAGCATAGTTAGTGGTAGCTGAGCAAGGAAGTAGGTGTTTTATGCTCAGATGCCACTAATCATACTGTAGATCAAGAAAGATCTGGTAGAATTAGTGGGCCTCCACGTTTTACCTCCATGCATTTCAGCCTTATGTCACCTGTTTTGGGACTGTAAAAGCTCCAAGCTGTCAAGTTTTAGTTTTTCTGGTCACTGGTTCCCAAGGCTGAGGATCTTTGATACTTCATCTCTAGGACTTGATCTTAGCTTAAAGCCAACATTGCTATTTGACGGCCTCACCTCAAAGGCAGTTTTTTCTTTCTTCTGAGGTATATCCCCAGCCCTTTTTTGAGACAGGGTCTCAATTGCCCATGCTGGGTTGAACTTGCAGTTCATTTGCCTCAGCATTCCAGTGTTAGGATACTGGTATGCACCACACTTGGCATTCATAGGCAGTTGTGTGAAGGTGTAGGACAGAAGACTGCAAGGTCAAGAGTGGGGCTTTTCAGTGGCCTCTTTAACAAACAATTCTACTGAATTCCAAACTAACTGAACTTGTGTGGCAACATGCAATGTGTAGGAATTCTAATTGTAGTATAAATGTCATTATTGAGACTAGTTTCAAGACTACACTTCAATGTATGCTAACTTTGTTTTCAATACAGGCTTGTGACACTTGGTCTGTGATCCTGTAGCTTGAACCTGATACTGTTTTGCTGGGTTGAAAACAACTCATTCCCTCTGAGAGGCCTTGTACATACAGACCTTTTATTCATAACTTATTTTGTATTAAAACTTTTTCAAAACACCTCTACTCTTGGAGTTTTGATCCAAACTGAAGAAATAGAAAAGACAAGCTACTTTGGAGGAGATAAAACAATTTTAATGTCCATTATTATGTTATACAAAAAAAACCCACCTAGAAATAAAATCTTTGAGCACAACAGCAATAATTTAAATTTGCTATTTTTTCTTCCATGATGTTAGGATGATAACCATTGCAAAGTACACGTGTCTCATGTCAGGTTTTATTCCCTGGCCAAAATCTGCCATACAGTTAAGGCCTTCAGTGTCTCTGACTACTCTATTGGTTCTTGATAAAGCTTTTGAGGTCTTCAAGAAAAGTAATGTATTCCTGATGCTCCAGGGCTGTGCTGAGCTCCACCAGCTCATCTGCAAAGGTGTTGTCCACTCCCCGGTCAGCCAGGAAATCCATTAGGTGATCATATAAGGCCTACCAAGAAGAACACTTAGTTACTACTTAAAGACAATGTGTAACACTCATCAAAATGTTTCTTCCTCTGCTTAAACTAAGACCCTTCCCTGCCAGGCCTGAGCAGCCCCATCTTCTTTAGCACTCACCCAGTCCAGGGAATCTGTGTTAAGTGTGTAGTTAGTGTCCTTCCATTCAGACTCGCCTGTGGCCTGAAAGCTAACTTCCTTGATAGAGAAAATGTCACTTTCAGCCGCCTCCTCCTCTTCTCCAACCTAAGAAGAAACAGCTGTTTTCTCCACCCACCCACCACTACCCCCATCATCTCCCCTGCTTTGCTGGGCTGGAGAGTCTGTAAGTATCTGCTACAAGGGACCAGGGAGGTCCTAGGAAACACACCTTGTCCTGGGGGTGCCAAGGGGCTCCATTCTCCTACATACCTCATCCTCTGAATAATGACAGTCCAGTACAAGGGCCTTCTTGCCATCACTCTTGGTAACTTCTACCACAAAATTGGGAGTTGATGTCAGTTCAGGCTGGGGAAACAAGAACAAGTAATTACAGGCCACTGTTGGTCCATGCCTGAATCAAAGGTCTCACTCAGGTCAGAGTGTGTGATGGCCACTATTTGGACATTACAGTATTTAGCCATTTCATGGTCTTATGCTACAGTGCTCCCAAATAAGAATTTTTAAACAGGTTGTTCAACAGTGTCTCACTTCTGTTTGTACCCTATTTTTAAAAAAGAATATACTGAGTTTAGAATTAAGTCTGAATTCCAGCCCCAGCTTTACCAGTTAACTGAGATCTAGATCAGCCCTTTTTTTTCTGAGGCTGCTTCTCCATCCGTACAATGCAGAAGTGGCCTACATGTCTAAGACCTCTTTCCAGCTTGACCTGATTTGGGATTCCATCATGGACTAGAATCAAAGCCTGGCATACCTAGCTCTGGCTAAGCAGCCATCCTAATGGTAGCAGCTCTCTCTCTGGTGGTGACCCCGGGAGCAAACTGAGTCTAAAGTCAGGGAAATGCCATAAGGGGTGCCCAAGACAAGCACACCAGAAAGCTCTTCTTCATGCTAGTTAATGAGGAAATGTGGCTGCTCAGATGGTCTAAGGACCCTGTGTCCCTTATACTGACTGCTTTCCAGGCCAGGCCCACTATTTCCTAAAACATTTGAAGACGGCACCCTAAAGATACCATCAAAAGAGCAACCAACCTTAGCAAAGTTCTCATGAGGCCAAGTATTAAAGTCTCTGAGGCCCACAATAACAATCTTAGTTAAATGACTGGTATTTATTGCTAGCTTTTGACATGGTAAGAAGACTCTTTACCCTGAAAACACTCAAATGATAGGCTCTGTATCAAACATCTCCCTGTCATAGAAAGGACAGTTTCAGTTCTTTTCTATTACGAGACTACAGGCCCAACTGTAAAGCTGGAGCCCGATGGTGGCAAAGTATTCAGCCCCCAGAGAAGAGGGAGCCATAACCCACCAGAAACCATAGATTGCTCTACGTAAGTCCCAAGGATGAGTGTCCTTGGCCTTCTCTCTCCACAGTACTAGCACTGGAGGAATTAAAGAAAAACGAATTGGTCTTTTGCACCTGCTAGAACTGACAAAGGCAGGCTAGAAGCTTACCTCCTGTTCTTCACCTTTCTGCCCCTGTGAGGGCTCCTCCTCAATATCTAATGTTGGTGGGATGCTATTGTTAATGTTGAAAGTGACAGAGATTCTAGAAAGAAACAAAAAAATAGGCAAGGCATAGCTTCAACTAATTAATATAAAAGAAGTATAGAGGCTTGTTGAAACAATGCTTCTGTCCTGGCTGGCTACATGTATCTGAATTATCTGTAGAACTTCAAAACAGTCTGAGTGCCAGGCCTGGTGGCACTTGCCTATAATCCCAGCACTTGGGAGGCTGTAGCCAAAGGATTGCCATGAGTTTGAGGCCAGCCTGGGCTATATAGTGAGTTCAGGGCCAGTCTGAATTACAGAGGGAGATGCTGTCTCAAAAAAACCAAACCAAAACAAAACTACCAGGTCGAGTACTGACATCAATCTGAGGACTCAGTCTGTAGGTTACAGTGAGCCTACTATGTGCCAGCTAATGGAAGTTAAATTAACAGGCCCTGCCTGCAGGTACAGCCCAGTGGTAAAGCACTTTTCCTAGCATGTACAAGGCCCTGGTTTATCTCAGTTAGGCCTAGGCTTCGTCCACCAGGTCAGTATCCCAGAGCTCACTGCCACACATTCACTGGTTATCTTCAGGCCACAGCCGGCAGACTCTGCTGCTCTGGTCTTTTCAGGGAACCCTCTATTAGTGGAGGTAAGCAACTGAGAGGCTGGAGGGATGAACAGGAGCCCTTTTAAGAATTTCTCTCTGGGGCCGGGGATTTAGCTCAGTGGTTCCAATGCTTGCCGCGCAAGCACAAGGACCCAAGTTCGATCCGCAGTACCAAAAACCAAACAAACAAACAAAAAAAAGAATTACTCTCCAGCTAGGCGTGGTGGCATATACCTGTAATCCCAGCACTCAGGAGGCGGAGGCAGGCAGTTTGCTTCATAGTGAGACCCTGATGGATGCCTAATTTTATGAATATTTATGATCACTGAACAGTACATTTTATTTTATTTATTTTGGGTATGAGGGCTCAAACTCAGGACCTTGTGCTGTTGAGGCAGGCGGTGGAACCACTGAGCTAAATCCCTGGCCCTGAATTGTACATTTTAATAAAAAGTGAATTTTAGCCAGTGTGGCGCTACATGCCTGCGATCCCAGCACTTGGGAAGCTGAGGCAGGAGGATTGGAGCCAGCCTGGGCTACATAGTGAATTCAGGACTGGCCTGAACTACATAAAGGAGACCCTGTCTTAAAAAAAATTCCAGAATATCATGGCTGAATTTAGGCAGGGTTTGGCTTTCCTCACCAATAACTGAATGGTTGTCTACACCATTACTCAAAACCCATGTATCAAAGTATTGGGTCTAACCCCCGGCTGGCTGTTCTGGATATGCCCCAGGACAGGTCCCACAGGGTCATGGATCTGGTCCCCTGGAGACCCCAGTCCTAAGATTAGTACTTACTTTTCCCCAGCAACTTTCCGAACTAATTTAGCTTCTGTCCCATTCACTTCCAGCTCCCAGTCTCCAGACATCTTGGGAAGGGACTTATGCTTCTGGATTTTTTTTTCTTCTTTAATTTCATCAGTAAGAAATTCAACAAAAGCTTTGTCTCCTAGAAAGCACACAGATCATTCAGAAAGAAAGTCAATCAGTTTAAAACATAAAACAATTGCACAGGTTAATTGCAATTAGAAATCTGCACTTTAATTCTTTTCTGATCTCTTGATTATGGCTGCTCTGGAGCTTTGGTCCAGTCCACATTATAAGGCCTCAGTTTCTTTCTCTGTAAAAATATATTAGTAGAAAGCTAAGCTTGATTCTGGAAAAGTTATTTCGAACAATAAACTCATTGCCACTTTTCACTACGAGATAAGAAAATTCCCCATTACTTTCTCCCATCTGCCAACAGACATCATGCATTCAACTACGTACTTTAAGCTTCCCCAAAGATCCATTTTCAAGAGACTAGGAATAAAGGTGCATCTTGGTCCTTAATTTTCTCTCTCCACCCATAAACCGAACCCCTTGGGTCAGGGGAGAAGCCAGAATGCGATCGCAAGGGTTCAACCCGCCGGTTGCCCAATGTTCGGGACGCTGGGATCTGTTCCGGGTTATCCTGGTCCACGCCTCACCACAGCCCTCCGCCACGCCAGGGCTCGGCCCGAGGGCGCGAATCTCACCTTCAGTGTGCAGCGCTCCGAGACCGCAGCCGCAGGCGCACGGCCCAGGAGGCTGCAGGAGGCCGGGCCGCCGCAGCGACCCCGCGTGCACCGACAGCAGCCCGAAGGGCCGGAGGCTCGGCCAGGGCGCCTGCTGCAGCAGCTGCCGGAGAGGTGGGGCCGGTGCAGCAACGCGGAGGCCTGCGACCGCGATGCCCAGGACGCGGGGCATGCGGCGCAACAGAGGAAACATCGTGAAGGTGGCTGCGGTAGCGAAGAACACGTGTGAGTGCAAAGAACGACCTGGGCCCAGGCACACCGTGACTTAATACACGCCGGAAGCCCCGCCCTGCCCAGGAAGGGCTTCGGCTCCGGTGCGCCCAAGACCGAAGGCACCGCGGGGAGAGTCGCGCCCTCTGCTGGAAGCCTCCGGTGCAGCCCCTCGGTCGCCTCCAATCCGGTTACTGAGTTGAGTCCGGTGTCTGACGCGGTCTGTTAATTCCCTCCTCTGGCGGCTTGCTTTCCGTTTTCCACCTACTGTTCTCAAAACCAGGCTTTCTGACTGCGTGGAATGAGCCTTTGCCGCCTCCAACTCTTCCCAGACCAGACTTCAGAGTCACTTCCCATAAAGGGCTTTCTTGCAACCTAGCTTTCTCCGGAAAGGAATTCATGCTTGTATGCATCCAAACGCGCTTCATTTCCTTTCAGCACAAGCCTCCTTGGCACAGCTGGTTTACCTGGCAGCCTCCCTGCACCAATGTCAAATTGTGACATTCGGAAGGGTAGGATCTGTCACTAGTTTCGGTGACCTCTTTTCGTACCTTCCAATTTTGCATACAAATTCTGATGAACATCATTTTCCCTAGGGGCAAGAAACTATGGCTTACATCAGATTTGAGTTAAGAATAAACAATCCAGAGGGCATGGTGGTGCACGCCTGTAATCCCAGCAATCCGGAGGCTGAGACAGGAGGATCTCCGCGAGTTTCAGGTCAGCCTGGGCAACACAGTGAGTTAAAGGCCAGCCTGAACTACATAGCTAGACCCTGTCTCAAAAACAAAAAACAAAACAATCATATTGTTTGTTGTGCCAAGCGAGCCGATAAGTCACCAAACACTGGGACCAACGACAAAGTTAAACTGAAAGGAGTTTATTCACGCGCGACTGCACTCGCTAAGCTAAGTGAAGCCCTGAGTCCAGGAACAGCACAGTTTATATAGGGTGTTATAGCAGCATAGCTTTTATAGGTGTTATTTTAAGAAGACAAGTTCAAGGGTAGGTTAATTCACAACTAGCTATCTTGCTGTCTTGTCAGATTAGGGCAATTTACGGTAAAGGGCACTATCTCTTTCCAAGAAGCGATGAAGCAAATTTACAGAAGCAGAACAAGCAGTTATAAAAACATCTATTTTATAAGGGGAGGGGCATGAGGGGAGTTTATCTACAGGCCAAGATGGCGTTTCTTGGGTTTATCCTGGTCTCACTGTCTTCCCAGGATACACAGTATAAGGTACCAAGAAAGGATGGCTTATTATATTAACAGCAATAAGACCAGTACTTAATAGTTCCTAAACAGCTTTCTGTGAGTAATGGAAAGGAGACCCAACAAAGAAGCCACACATTATCGGGTACTAGATTCATTTTTATGGATTTGATAGGTGAGTGCAAATTTCAGCATTACATACAAGAGCTGTTTAGTTATGTCTGAATTAAGACCAGACTCAAAACACAACGTAAGCCTAAATCAACTTTTTCTGCCTCGTTTTTTCTGCAAATTAAAAGTCTTATCAAATACAGTACAATAAAATTCTTGTTTCCCCACAAGTGCAGCGTTTCTTTATATAGCCAAGCAACAACATCTCAGGTGCATGGCCACAGTTCCAGGTGGCTTGGATTTACATCACAGTGTATAATCAGCTTTACACTCAGGGCAAACACATGTTCCCATTTGGTGTCTCTTCAACTAGCAGAGTGGCAGCATTAAGGGTTTTCACCAAAGCCCTGGTGCTCATAGCCCTCTCCTGTAATGAAGTGAGTGTTACTCCAAGTGTCTCACACTCCAAAATTACTGGCACTAAAGACAAACACCCAGAGCAGGCATGCAGAGCTGCTTGGGGTGCACCTAGTCACAGGAAGCTGCTCATGGGAGCTGGTGATTGATACAGATAGAGATTTCAGAGTTCGGAAAAGACACATCACATCATCAGAGATTTTACCAACTGAAAAAGAATAGCAAGATTGTACTGCAATATCACTGTGAAATATTTAACCTTCTTTAAGAAAGTTTAAATTTAAAGTGTACTATCCCTGAAGCTCAATAAAATAACCACTTATTTCACTGTAGTAATATGTAGTCAGAATGGTTTTTACATCTGATTTAATCCCTGAGCAGCTATGTTAAAGATCAACTTTTCAAAAAGCCCAATAAAAAAACTACTGTATTAAAATTCTACAATGTTACAGTGATAAACATATTTCTATACAGAAACATTAAAGCTACTTAGAAGCTGCTTACCTTCTTTACTCCTCAGAGAATACATATACATTTCCACAAACTATCCAGGTACTGAAAGTGGACATAAATTACTCCAAGTTAGGTTTTCCCTGACCTAGAGAATACCATTAGCTAATGTGTTGAGGAATATAGGAGGAAAAGTACTAATTGCTGAGGAATAAATTGTTCAACTTGCTTTTTTTTTTTTAATCAGCATGATAAATGTTCTATTAAAACCACAAAATTTTCTTTTACCAAGTCAGGCCACACATCCTTGCCTCCTATTATTGATGAGAAAAATACACAAAGAGAAAAAAAAAAAACTTTCTGGAGAACTTTTCAGATAGTGATGCTAAGAATGAACTGAGCTGTGAAGAACCAGTTCAAAAATTCCTTAAGATGGACCGGGGATTTAGCTCAGTGGTTCTGCCACCTGCCTTGCAAGTGCAAGGTCCCAAGTTCAATCCCTGGTACCAAAACAAAAAAATTCTATAAGGTATACAGGATCTGTCAAATCCCATTTGGCCTAGATGTAACCATGTCTAACAGAAATAAATCGTAAGTGCCCAGACAACCCTAAACACTGGCAAAAAATGTGGCTGCTCAAGACCATGGCTAGTGCTTATGAAGACTGGCTCAGACTTACACAAGAGGTGCCCAGTCAGTTATGATTTCTAAAGAACTTGCTGGACCCTAAATGAAGACCATCCAGACTAACCATTGTCCTTTTTTTTTTGAGACAGAGTCTCACTATGTGGCTCATGCTGGCCTTGATCCCACTAAGTAGCCCAGGCTGACCTGGAACTCATGGTGATCTTCCTGCCTCACCCTCCAGAATGCTGGGATTATAGGTGTGTGTTACCACACCCAGCTTCCTTCTTTTTTTTTGGTATCAGGGATCAAATGTTTTTTTTTTTTTTTTTTTTAGACAGGGTCTCACTATGAAGTTCAAGCTGGATCTGAACTCAGTCCTCCTGCCACAGCCTTTGGAGTGCTGGGATTACAGACATGTGCCACCACCCCTGACTTCATTTATAAGTGTACAAAATAAGCATAATAATAGGGCTAAATCTAACTTCCTCTAGTTCTAAACACTCTCTGAGGAAAGACTTTACTTTTGATAACTAACTAGCTAAGAAGAACCTTTAGTGTATTTTCTCAACAGGAAGTGACAATAGGAATTAGAGAGAAGTGCCTGCTGCAGTTAGGAAAGAGCAAATCCAAACTGTCCCTTAGGATCTATGGAAGAGAAAAGACCGCAGAAAATCAGTAAGATCCAAGAAGATAAAGACCAAGGGTCTGGGATTTAGCTCAGTGGTGCTGTGCCTGCCTGGCAAGTGCAAGGTCCTGAGTTCCATTCTGGGTACTGGAAAAAAGGCGGGGCGGGGGGGGGGGGATGTAGCTCAGCTGTGCTGCACCTGCCTGGCAAGGGACAAGTCCTGAGTTCGATCCCTGGTACCAGAAAAAAAAAAAAAAAAAGACCGGCTGTGGTGGATGAGATGAGCTAATGCTCTTGAATTTTCACTGATCATGCATCTCTTTCCTCTCTCTCCCTCTAGCATCAGCTCTCAACAGTAGCCCTGTCCAAAAGGAAACAGTGGAAATAAAGCATGAAATCATCCTGCATGCACATTTGTTCAGAAGTGCCCAGTTAAAGAAAAAATGACAACTGGTTTTGGAGGTGGCCATCACATGGAGAGGTCAGTCTACATGTCTACACCTGATATGATTCAGAAGGTACAAATCAACCTTCACCCAGGAAACTGACACATTTCCCGAAAGCACTGGTGGGAACTTGCATAACAGAGGCACCAAGGACCGAGAGACTCCTTTACTGGTCTCTGCTTGGAGACAAACAGCGGTCCACAGGCTACACATGAGGTTCAGTAGGAGAGGACAACCATCCCAGGGGGTAAGAGACCACAGCACCTCCCTCCTGAAATGTCTACAAGTTAATGTCTTATGTTTTCTATTTTACAGCTTCATACAGGTAGACATTAAGACAGAATCAAGGGGCTAGGGGTGTGGCACAGTGGGAGAGCACCTGCCAGACACACAAGATCCGTGGTTCAATCCCAAAACTACCGAAAAAAAAAAGGGTGAAGTAGAATCACTAACAACATCCAAGTTCTGAAACTTTCTATGGCCCCCTTCTAGAAAATCTCCTTTAGTCACACAAACTCAGGAGATTTTGTTGTAGAACTTAATTCACATTATCACCTAGAAAACAATGACATTGCACATGACTCACAATTCACCTTATATCTGTCCTATGCCAGGCAAAGCCCTGAGTACTGTCCATTCATTTTCTCTAGACTTCAGGACCCCAGTGCTATGATTATTACCCCCTATTTGGCAAATGAGAAAAAGGAGGCTCAGAAATTAACTAAGTTACCCAAAGTCACCCTGCAAGAACCAAAAGCATAACTCTTAAGTTTCCAAGGTACAAATGATATGTACACATCTACACAGTTCAGTCTGAGGAGTTTAAGTAAAGATGTTTTCAAGCTCCTGGAAGTCACCACATTCAGCTGCAGGGACACTTGTAGCTTCTCCAGATGTTGACCTGGCAGTCGGCTAGGACAGCAGTGGTTCAAGGTACCAGCTGTCTGGGAGCTCGCTGGGGTGGCTCAGCTTCTGGTGGTTCTCAGCTTCCTCCGGAAGTACTCTGGGGCAGCCTCATATAGCCACTCAGCATCCACCACGCAGAGGTCCCGCATGTAGCACTTGTTGGTGTAGAGCAGCTCAGTGTACACAACGCAGGCTGGCTTGCAGTGGAAGAGGACAGATGAGGGATGGATAGCCACTGGCTGGTGGGTGTCTGTGGTGGCATAGGTACCATCAGGTTGCAGCTCAGCAGTGCTCA